TACATGCCATGTGCATGCCATTCTTATAGCAGAGGTGGGTTCCTACCAGTTCGCACCAGTTCGATAGAACCGGTTCGTCAAATCTACCGAACCGGTTCGTCAAATCTACCGAACCGGTTCGTCAAATCTACCGAACCGGTTAGAAGAGGTTCCACCAGTGGACCCGGAAAGCAGGCCACACCTACAGAAGAGGTTCCAAAATTTTTTGAAACCCACCACTGACACACACACACACACACACAGAGAGAGAGAAAGGCAAAGAGAGAGAGAGAAAGAAAGAAAGAAAGAAAGAAAGAAAGAAAGAAAGAAAGAAAAGTGAGAGAGATGAAAGAAAAAAAGGAAAAAGGGACAGAGAGACAAAAGGAAGGAAAGAGAGAGAGAGGGGGGGGAAACACATGGCCGGCAAGCCACTCCCACCAGGTCACATGGCCGGCAAGCCACTCCCAGAAAAGAGACCACACCCACAGAGTAGGTTCAAAATTTTTTTGAAACCCACCACTGTCTTATAGGTACCAATTGGTGTTGTTACATAACTGTTTAGGTCGCATCTTGATTCTTTTTTCTTGGTTACTCCATTTTCTGTTTACGGATTGAAAAATTATAACTCTCTCTTTTTAACACCATAGTCAGAGGCACAAAGTCCAGAGACACAACCCACACCGATAATTAAATTAGATATCTTTTGTTTTTTTTCCCACTTTACAGGGCTAACCCTGTAAGGAAGGCAGGAAGGAAATATTCTGGTGTTGTTTCTAATCTTTATTGCCCTGCTTACAGAAACTGCCTCTCCGGTTAACCCTTATTACATTGTAACAGCTAAGGCGAAGCGCCCATCGACCCGAGTAACCTTGAGTTGGCCACGCCCACCCAGTCACATGACCACCAAGCCCCACCTACCCAGATGGTCATTAGGGCAGAGAACCGGTTGTTAAATTATTTGAATCCCACCACTGTTGTAACCCTACAAAGCATGGCAAGAACAGTCTATGGACCACTATAACTGAAACAGTGGAAGCATAATTATGGCCTGGTGGCAAAGATGAAAATGAGAACAGAAGAAAAGGTAATGATTCCCACTGTAAAAGAATTGAAGCTATGGTTGTATGTGTACCGTACGGCTCAAAAGGCAATCAGCAACAGCTGGAGAAACTGCTTCATAAGCAACAACCTGCTGTTCATTTTTGTTTCTTTGCATGTTACTACAGCAATGTGAATATAAGATAGGGAATACTGTTTAGTTCTAAGATCTAATTCACCAAGAGCTAGAATCTGATTGGCCACAGGGCAAGCCTACTTCAGGCTTTCAGATCTTATTTTTTTTTTTAAATTCCCTTCTCGTTTAAATTATGCAGATTTTGTCAGTGAAGATGCCAAGTTCATAGGGACTCTGACTACTTTATCCTCAAAATGTCTTGCAAAGATGTCACTGCGAGCCTCTAGTGGTTCTAATGTATTCTGAAACTGAGATGTGACGGTTCCTTCATTGATCTGAAGTTTTACTGAATGTCTTCCTGGAGATGTAAAGAGAATGGAAAAACATGATAACTTCACTGCTGTCACATCTTAAAAAAAATAATAAGGATAATCTTCTCCCAGTTATTCTTTACTCTGATTGTTGTGTGATTTATAACAAAGCACAGTCTTTCAATGTGATATGATGTGAATATGGCTGTTCAGCTATATCACAAACTCTTTGGGTTACAGCTGTTCAATTCAGGAACTTCTACACAAGAAACAATTTATACTTTCTGCAATTTTTGGAGAGAGCAATGAGTAAGCAAAAACTCTTACTAATAATAAATTAGATCTATCTGCATTTGTACCAAATAGCTGGCCGGAACAAGTTGTAATATAACCAAACCAAAATGTCTTTGTTTTTCAAGGGCATAAACATAAGCCAGGCTTATATAATTTTAAAGAGTGGTTCATAATTTCAGTCTGCCATATATGGAAAATTGTGATGCTGTATTTAATAGAATTTAAACTTATCTATAGGTGACGGAATCCAAGAAAAATATCTCAATAGCACAATGTTGCATATTATATTTCAATATGTGTAGTTTTTATAAAATGTATGTAATGCTTTATTGTACATTGCCCAGAATCCTTCTCTGAGGGAGATAGGTGGTTCAAAAATATGTCAGCTGCCACCTTATGCTCGCTTGTTCTTCCCTTTTATGCCATGACAGATTGCCATGAACTGTGGGGAAGGGGAATGAAATGTGGGATTCTTGGGAATATGAAAGTAAGTGCTGTATCTCCTTGAGGCGCTGCTTCAAGGTCACTCAGCTGGAAGAAGGAGGGTGCAGCATGCCAAAATGTGCTTGGACTGACTGTTATGAAAGCATCTTGTGTGAACCTGATTGGTTACACTGGAGTGGGCAATGGGAGATAGCTAAGGGAGGGAAAAGTAGAACTTAGGGGTTTGGCACATGATTCTCAGATCTGGCTTTGCAATACTGCAATGCATTTGACCTCTAATAAACGATACCTTTTTCAACAAATGGAGCCAAGGATCATTTCTATTTAGAGGTTTAAGTTGTCAAGTCCGACAATGTGGAATATAAATAAATGAAAGTAAAATAGACATCCTCCCATTCCAAGTACATTGGGAACTTTTACTATAATTTAAGACCTACAGTCTTAGAATACAAATTCTGTCAATCAAATAGAGTAAAATACTCATTCATGAGATTACTGCGGAGGAAAAATGGTACAACGTAAAACAAATTTTGCTAAGATTATTTCCCTACATTCACAAATTTAGTGAAAAAGCATTAGCAAGATGTGATGGAGGAAAAAGGATCCTTTTCTGACCTCTTGTAACTGATCTGCTTAACTCCAACGTAGTAGAAGAAAACGAACTGTTTCATCAACCTGCAGTGGTGGCAGTCATGTTGTAAATTACAGGCGCATAACAAATGGTAGCATCCATCTTTTCTGATCCCACATACTCTAGTCTCTGATGACTAATGTCTCTCCCATTGAATTGTTTCTATTATTGGAAATCTTTAAGCAGCTTTAGGAACTGCCATATAAAAACTACCATTGAAATATTTCACTGAACCTGATATTTGAAGTACTTTCCTGCCATAAGTCATTTTCGAAGATTCCTAAAAATGCATTCCTGAAAAATAGGTCCTTCCTCTGCAATGTGGCAGAGAAAGGATGAAAAATGAAAAGGAGCCAGGTGCAACAGCACTGACATGAGCAACATACTTATAACAGAGACCTACCTCGATTAACACAATCTTTCTGTTACACTAGGATGGATCTATACAATGAACTCTAACCATATTCTATGCCTTGGGAAGCACTGATTTTGCCTTAAATACTGGTGAGTGCTATGGATTAATCATTATAAAACGTGCAAAAAGATTGAAGTGTTTCTTCAATGTTCACAGCTTTTAGAACAATTAAACTGGCGGGATGCAATCATTTCTGACACAGAAATGTTTACCTGCACAAAGGAAAATAGTGCATAAATGCTATTTTCGTTCAATCTCATTCTTTCTCTTAAAATCTACTTCGCATTGATTCTTTTACACTTGCAGGTTTGTCACTGGAGTATAGAGAAGCCATATTTGAATACCTGATAATGGGGAACGAGAAGTCTCTAAAATACAAGCATAATTATGTACAGTCCCATATGTCAGAGAGACCTTAAGAAATGCTTACAGATAATTCATTGTATAATGTGATGAATAAATATGTGTTTCACTATACTTTGCATAAAACTTCAGAAAGTGCCCGAAGAAACTAAAAATCCTTCTTTATTTTCCTTTTAAGAGTTGTTTTTGACCAAAACTATCCCCCCCCCCCCGCAAAAAAAGAGGATTACAAGAATAATGATTTTAGGATTTGGGTTTTTTTTTTTTTTTTGTACACTGCAGAGTCACTTATGAGATGGGCGGCTATATACAGTAAATTAGATAAATAGGTAGATAATATATTGATAGACAGACAGACAGACAGATAGACAGACAGTTAAAATGGTTCAACTCTAATAAAGCAATAGGAAGACTAAGGATACCTAGAATTCTCAAGGGGCACAATCACATAATCTTTGATCAGAGCACAGTTAATTAAAATGTATCCCCCAATGTTAATTTTCTTATGGCCCAAACTTGCATGTGCCTAACTGAAAACATCTGCTTTAATGGAGAATATTTTTAAAACAGTATGCATAACAATGCAATCTATGCTTAGTCAAAAATATAGCCTACTATGTTCACTTGGACTACTCTATAGTAAACGTACTTAGAAATGCAGCCAAATAGACCTCATGAGGAAAACATTGTCCAATTGACTCTATTTAATCATGCTTGGAAAAAAAAATCATGGCTGATGGTGACCGTAAATATACAACATGGTAGAAATGCACATACATTTCCTTTATCATATCAGTACAATTTCTTACCAATATAAATTCTTTTGAGGGGTTTTTTGAACAGTGACACAGCTAATCTTTGCTACAATATTAGTTTTGAAATGATTAATCAGCTCCATTCCATCAAATACAATAATTAATACACAAACATATACACACACACTTTGTATGTACACACACACACAAACATATACATTCCTTGTCAGCGAAAAATTTGACAATGTATTCAGAATATGTTGCCTAGTAACATGACCTCTTGCAATAACAGCACACACAAGCATTTAATCCTTGGAATCATATTTTTCTGTAAAGATTTCCATGCATACCAAGAGACTGTCAGAGACCCCAGACAATAGTAAATTATTAACTAATCAATGCCAGGATGAAGGTGGGTGTGTTGATTAAATAACCGATTACCTAGTGCCAATATATAATATAAAAACATGGTCTTGAAATTGGCACAGCACTATGTCACCATAATTATATACTTAAGTTCATGTTTAGCACAGATTTCTGCATATCATAATCATTCCTTTTAATGTCTACCTAGATATTGATGTGATTGGGAAATATAAATCCCAAATAAGAGCAATAAACATCTGTTACTTACATTCTGGAATCATCCCATAATGCGCAATAGGGATTCAATGTGCCCTGAAAAAGTGGGAGAATATCCGTTAAAACATATTCTTTTCTCAGAGGCAAAAACTATTCAGTCCTAAATAAAAATGGAAATTACATAAACATGATATTCTGTATCAGACATCAAGCCTTCTGAAACTTGCTTTATCTTTATATGAACTTCATAATCTAATCAAATATACACATACACAAGAGAGAGAGAGAGAGAGAGAGAGAGAGAGAGAGAGAGAGAGAGAGAGAGAGAGAATATGTCAGTCATGCATTTTATATCAAAGAATTCTGAACTCTGAGATTTGAATGACCATAAGAACTGGATTAAATTCCTAGCTCTGTAAATCCATTCACAATTATTCCAAGCTTCTCTTCATTCCAGAAGTTTAATTTGCATGTGTTCATGTACAATATAGTTTTGTTTTATTTTATCTGAATAGTTAGAATCATAAATTCTTGCTGAACCGCTGCCCTTCATCTTGAAATCTATGAGGTTATCCTAATTTATCTTCTGCACATTGCTCCATAGTTTACAAATGATCTTCCGACCAGTTGTCATGTTTCAACGGTGTTGCCATTTGAAGACTGTTTCCTTTTGTCTCCATTGACTTTATTGCTTCATTTATTGTACTAAAACATATAATACTCCATGAAAAATCAGATTCCATTTCCTCCCTTAAATGTGAAATATAGTGTTCATGGTCCTAAGCAGAAGTGGGTTCCTACCAGTTCGCACCAATTCGGTAGAACCGGTTCATCAAATCTACCAAACCAGTTAGAAGAGGTTCCACCAGTGGACCCGGAAAGCAGGCCACACCTACATAAGAGGTTCCAAAATTTTTTGAAACACACCACTGGTCCTTGGATGTGATTATTCTACAATATCATGCTCATATTTATAGAACTCAGGGCCTCTGTGAAAGGTAAGGATGACTACTGCGTTTGTGGTGCAATCAGAACATTGCGTGTGTTGAAGTTGTTTTAACGCAAACCAAAGATGCCTTTTAAANCTTGTTATTAAAGGACATTCCATTTTACGCTTGTCTCGGCTTTCGTTACTGAACGGAGGAGGGGGTCAGAACTCTTATCTATGGAGGATTCCTGTAGCCTTGGGTAGGGGGTGGCAGCCCCCCTTGCTTTAAGGATTTATGAGCCAGGAAAAATTCCCAAGGTTGGTTCCTTTATCTATGGGGCCTGATAATCCCGTGGAACAATTTCCTTCTGTGTTTTCAAGAATGTGCCTAGTTTTGAAGCCAAGAATAGAAGGGAAACGCAGCAGTGAGATAACATTTGCAGTCCAGTATTAAGGTTACAATTTTGCCAACCAAACTTGGGATTCAAAATACAGCCTAGAGAGATGCCCCTGCATTGCCCCATGGGAGTCTGACAACCAATCAGAATGCAAGCTCAAGATCAAAGGCCAGAGAGGGCATAAAACCAGGAATTTTCAGTATCTCAGTCCTCCCTTCTCTTCTTCTCCACCAACATTGAAGCATGCGATCACTTTTTCTGTTCAGGGCTCAAACCATGTGGTCCTGTCCACCATTAAACCATCTTTCCAAGCAGCCTCCATGTCTCCAGGGTCGTTTTCCCCCCACTTGGGAGCCGAACCCAGAAGGACATTTCTTTCAACAGCATGAATGCAACTTGCAACCTTTCCATCAATGCAGCCTGCAACCTTGCATGCATGCAGCATGCACCTTTTCCTTGAATGCAACCTACATCCTTGCAGAAATGCAACACGCATCTTTTCATGGAGGCAACTTATAAATGCAACGTGCATTTGGCTCTCCCCGCCAAAAGCGCGACTGCGCAATGAACCCGCCAGCGCGGTGCCCTCTCCGCAGAGGCGGCGCCTCTGCAGCTCGCGTGAGTCTATGAGAGCGAGCGCGACTCCTCCACGCGCCGGCTCCGCCCTCCTGGGCGGCGGTTGGGGGGGCTCGGCGCCTGCGCAGAAAAAGCACCGCCTGGGCCGGGAGAGGGAGAGAGGCCGCGGCCGGCCGCCGGCGATGCTGCAGCTGCGGGACTCGGAGGAGGGCGCCGGGCCGGCTCTGCTGGTGCCGGCGGCCGAGGCCGACGTGCCCTTCACGCCGCCGGGAGAACTGGAGGGCTCGCTGGCGTCGCCCCGGCAGACGCTGCGCCCGCTCTCCGTCCGCAACCCCACGCGGGGGGGCCGCCTGAAGGAGTACTTCGTCTTCCGGGTGGGTGCCGGGCGCGCATGCGCGGAGTGGAGGGGGGGGAAAGGAGGAGGCCACGCCCCCCGGGAGAGACTGCTTCGGGCTCTGGAGGCTCCACGGGGGACGGGAAATCCCTCGAAGGACCGCAACAAGCGGGAAGCTCAAGTGTCTCTGTATAAAGTGTGTGTAAAGTCTATGTAATCCCATCTATACAGAGTGTATATTTAATATGTTAATATTAATAAATGCATATTTTTCTAATACCAATATAAAGCTATTAACTACACCTAATAAGACTATAATTATATAACATATATATATATATATATGTGTGTGTGTGTGTGTGTGTGTGTGTGTGTGTGTGTGTG